CTAAATCCCCAGCCCCTTGAATAGCATTCTGATTTATGCATATATCTCAGAATTTTTTGAAATAATTCACAAGTTTATAGACATCCAGATTGTTTCCAGTTTTAGGGCCATTATACTTAAAACTACTGTAAATATTCATATACAGGACTTTCTGTGGATCTATGCTACCATTTTTCTCAGGTAACTAGGTTATCTTGGTAAGAAACTATTGAATTGTCTTTCACACTGTCAGCATCACTTTCCATTCCCACCAGCTATGAGTGAGGGGCCTTGGTGCTCCATATCCCTGCCGGCATGTAGCATTGTCTACCTAAAAAACTACTCTAATAAAAGTGAATTGTAGTTTAATTTACATTTTCTCAGTGAATTATAATACTGAACATCTTATTGCTACTGCTATCCATATACTCTCTTGAGCTGAGTATCTATTTAAGTATTTTGCCTATGTTTTCAGTTATTAGTTTTCTTAGTATTCAATTGTGAGAGTTCGTTGCATATGCTGGACACAAATCCTTTTGCGGTGTATGTTTTACACATTTTCTGCAGATCTGTGGCTTCTTTTTTAAAAAAATTTCCTGCACCAGTTGCAGACATTCCTGTAATCCCAGCACTTGGGAGACTGAGACAGGAGGATCACTAGTGAGTTTGAGGCCAGCCTGGACTATATACTGAGACCTTATCTCAAAAAAAAATTTTCCCCTTGTAGTTTTGAATAATAGAAGTTCTTCAGTTTTATGAACTCTAATGTATCTTTTTTCCTTTTATGGTTTGGTGTTTTGCATTAGATCTAAGATATCTCTTGCTAATCTGGGAAGCAACCATTTAGAAATTTTAATGCATTGGTAATTACATTTAATGCTGTGGTCCAGGAAGTTTATTGTCCACTTGTAGCTAATTTTTGTATATGATGTAAGGTATGGTTCAAGATTCATTTTTTACATAGTCCAATCAGCAAGTATGTTTTAACTCTATAAAAATGAGCCTCCTATGTGCTTACTGTTTGGTGCATAGTCAATACTTGACCAGTGTTAACCTTTTTATCTCCAGATAATCACCCCAACTCATTTTCGTGACTCTCCAGAGAAAGCTGGAAAGCGTGGGCTCTGTCTGTCATGGAGGGTGGATGTGTACATTCTTATCAGGGACTTCCTCTCCTACAACTTAAGGTTGCATTTAATATCTAAATTTGTTTTCATTTGAAAAAAGAGAAGAAGGCAAGAATGGTAGTGCTGACTTCCCATGTTATAAAGCTTAGGTTCTAAAGGGTCAAACTGAAATACTTGGTAAATATCCTTTAACTTCTTCATGAACATCTAGAAGAGCCCTTGAACTCTTCATTTTGCTCTTCGGAGTGTGGAGGTGACTGCACTCACTGCACGTATAGAAATCCCTCTTTTGCTTTCAAGAATTTGAGAAGCGCTTGAGTATAGTCAAGGACTGACCGTTTCCCCATGTATTGACCTCTCAGCCTCTCCCATCATGCAAGATTCCCTGGACTTCAGGATCAACGCTGCAGTCCTTCGCTGGAAAGAAGCCTGACTTCTAAGGATTCACATAGTATTCCTAGAAGGACACCAGGCTCTTTGTAGGAAGCACTATATTCTATTTTCTCTGACTGGGGCACTCCTCGCTGCTCACATAGCCAAGGAAAATTACAAAAGGGAATGGCTTGCAAGGGTTACTCATGGTGTACAGAGAAGAGGTCAGTGCTTGCTGTGCCAACCTCCTCCTTCGTCCACAGATGTGAACTGGGGCTCATCCACACAGGCGCTTTCCTATGTGAGTGCTTTAGACAACGCTCTGGAGTTAACCACGGTGGAAGACCACGTGAAGAACTTCAGGTAACTCTGGTGTCTTGGACATGCTGGTATTCCACTGCGGAGTGGCTTTCCTTTACGGGACGAGTACACCAGAGTGGTTACAGGCTTTGTGGGCATAGTCCCCAAACGGCCACATTTTCACCACAGCACTTCCTGTGAGTGAGTGCTGCTTTCTGTCTCCTCTGAGCTGTGCCCCCACCCCAAACCACTGCCCTTCAGAGGGCCTGGTGTCACCACCTTGCATGGAGATAGAGAAGTGACTCAAATGACATGTTTCCGAGAGCTCTTGACCATTGATATCAAGTCCACTCAGCTTAAGACTTTGTGGCTTACTGATTTCCTTTAGGAGAAGTAATGCTTTGTGCTCTGCACGAGTTCTATCTTATTTTGAATGTACCTCACCCATGCTTACAGAGAGGATGAAGGAAGGAGGCAGGAAAACACTGGTTGAAGAGAGACAGGTTGTGTTCAGAGTTGAGGTGGCATAGTGTCCGGCGGAAGAAGACAAAGGGAACCCAATATCACCTGTTTCCTACTTGGTACTTATGTTGTGACTACACTAAAAATGCAAGGATGGCAAGACGGATAGGCAAGGTGGTAGAGAGTACCCTTCCTGGACCTTGCTGTGGTCCAGGAAGTTTATAGTTGTAATTGCATGGAAAAGTTACTAGAATTCTAGTGAGTTAATTCCAGTCTACCACTTCCAGTGCAACCCACGGTGAGAACAAAGACACTAAGGCCTGTTTGTAGTTATAAGGAGCCAAGGGGTCCTAAGTCCAGCTGCAGTGATGGTTAGCTGGAACAAAGGCCTTGACCCAGGGACAGACCAGGGCTTTATTAATTCGTGAAGAAGGGAGTGGCTTAAGGATGAGGGACTGCAAGAATGGTGGGAAATATGTGAGTGTTGTAAGCTGGGCTAGGAGGCCTGAAATCACCTCTTCAATATGCAGAGAGAAAGATATGCAGAAAGAGTAATCTGCATAACACAGTCTGAGGAAGTATCTAATGTTTTGGGGTCAGTGCTTCAGCTCTGATGTGTAATCTTTTAAACCCTGGGAAATCATAGCCTCTTATGTTGAGGCTCACTCCCAGCCACAGCATGGAGCATGACTCTCCATCCCACCTCATCTTGGCTCACACGTTTTATTTGGGACCTGCAAGGGATGGGGGAGAACACTGCCCTGTTGGCTTTGCTTCAAAGACTACACATCAGCACCTCAGCTTGACCAATCTGCATTGCTTAAAGCCAATTGAAAGCATAAGGAAAAGTCCTAGCCCGCTCTGTACATATCAGTCCATGAAAATAGGGCCAGGTTCAGCCAAAATGGAGTTGACTGCTCTTCTTTCAAGGAGAGTTGTCCAGGTGCCCTCCACAAGGTGATTCAAGAATTCTGGTGGGAAACCCAAGAAATAGAGGAGAGACTCCCACTTAGCCACGCCTTCTTCACCTTTCCATGGGGGCAGTGATTCTGGGCCTACAACTTCCTTATCCTGGCCGCTTTTCTTATCTTCTTTTCTTTACTTTCAGGCCGCAGTGCATTGTCCTAACAGGGGCACCCATGACGAGACCTGCCCTCTTGGACATAACACATGCCTTTACCAAGAACAGTGGCCTGTGCATCTGCTGTGAAGTCTTCGTGGTAAGAGTCACCTCACCCACAGAGAGAGCTTTCTCCCCTTGTCCACCCTGGTTAGTTTAGGTGAGCAGGGAAGGTGCATGCAGTAACAGGAAAAGGGCAGCACACTTTGGACAAGGGTCCTCTTCCTTGATTCATAGAGCAAGGACTGGCAAGAGCCCGTGATCCTGAATTTAAACGGGTGGATGGATGTATTTCCAATTCCAAAGGAGACCAACTAAAAGTGATAAATATCTCCAAATGGCAGCCTGGGAGTCAAGAAAAACAGAACTGACTGAGAAATAAAATGAAGGCATTCAGGGTGATAACTGTCCACAAAAATTTAAAAGGATGGAACAAGACAGATAGAGCACTATTGTATAGATTAACTGGCAAGGAGAGACCCAGACACAATGGCCATAAATGACAACAGCACATGGTGTTTAGATTAAATATTTGGATAAACCTGACACTAAAGACATCTAGAGAATTAAACCAAGTTTCCCATCGCTCCAAATAAACAGTGCTAAATGAATTCCCTTTTGTTCAGGAAATATATTCTTGAATGGTAACAATATATTGGTAGTTTTCCTAAGAGGCATTCAAACTCGGTGCTAAAAATTATTGGTCAATAATTAACCATAATTAATTATTGGTCAATAATTAACCATAATTATTGACCAATTTTTCAAGTAGGGAGAAACCTTAAAATCATGATTTAAAAGGTCTACATCTTTCAAACTAGTCTACTTCTACTCTCACTCATCTCCCTCTTTCCCTGCCTCTCCCTCTCCTCAAAATCCCCATCTACCGATGTACTTTTACACTACTTAAGTGCTTACATGTTTTTCAAAGCACTTTCCTATGGTTTTTCTTGTTTGATCCACACACAGCCTTGAGGCTGAAGAGAAAAGAAGCCCTATTCTCATTTACTGATTGGGAAATCGAGATTCCAAAGTCTTGCACTGGGTCACATAACACAAATGTGGTTGTGTTGGGACATCCATTCAGGACACCTGAGAGTGCCCCGGAGTATATCATGAGAAGGTACACCCTGGGATACTCTCCAGTCAGACCCATTATGGACACCACCCCTCAAAATCTGTGAAGAAAGAGGCTGCCAGGAAGTTGTGTGAACCTAGGGCTGGTTGACCGTGTGACAGTGCAGGGACCCATTTAGCACATGACACCCTGAGCAGCGCTTTGACATCTTTTTACACTGGGTAATATTCTAAATGGTAGATGAGGGGAGATGGCCATAGTTTCCCATTTCAGTGCCTAGACAATGGCAGTAACTCAAACAATATAACTAAATGCAATTACCCCAGAGCGGGTGGAGAGACTCCTGCAGAACACATGAGATTGACAGGTGAAGTAATGGCCAGCTGTGGCTCCAGAGGATTTTTAAAAAGCTTATCAAGAACCTTCCTTCATATTATCAACTTAGGTGCCCTGGATTAGTGGATTTCATTTTGGCCAATATGATAGAGGAGCCGGTTTCGATAGAATAAGCAGTTTGGGGCGTTTTTCTTCTCCAGCAATTTAGAGAAAACTTAGTTTAGCAGGCAATAAAATATCTTCATACTGGAGAAATGAACTGGGCTTATAAACAGTCATATATCGGTGAGGGAGAAAATGTCTTCGACAGAGACAAGAAATATTGCTTTTAATTAACCCTTTGTTGCTTACGTGTGAATAAAGGAGGGCGACGCTGGAATATCCTTTCATCCGAAGTAAATAGCTACACCTGTGATCCTAGTTGTGTGACAGAGAAGTGGGACAATGTCATATATTACTGGACTGGTGCCTCTGTGGAGGTCCCAAGCATCCTGCTCTTGGGTGTGCATGGAGGCTCTCTTGGGGACAGAAAACTGTTATTGTATCAGCTAATGACTTTCCATTTGGTTATTTCTGGGGTTGCACATACTTCCAGCATGTTTAGACTTCAGGTTCAGTTGCCAATTCCAATCATCTTTGCAAAGGAGGTTTTGGAAGGAAAGTGGTTGGAGTCAGCATACCACTGGACGTGGCTCTCCAAGAACACGATGGCTGACAGGTAGCCAAGCTTGCGGAAGGTGTTAAGTAGTGATGATGATGATGATGATGATGATGATGATGATGATGTTGATGAAGATGATGATGGGAAAATGGCAATTTGGGTTTTAACTGTAGGGATCTGGTGCTTCTGGGCTTTTGAAAATTACTGGAGTTCTAAATCCCTATTTTGTCACCTGTTAGCTGCAAGTCTTTCAGGTTCATAATTTAGTCTCTCTGTGACTCAACCCTCTCAGTTATGAAATGAAGATACTAAAAGCAGCACCTATAATATAGTTTTACTCTGGGAATTATGTAAGTAAGATGGGATTTCAAGTGCTTAGCTGGTTGTCTGTCTAGCAGTACATACTTAATGAATTTTAGTTGATATTGTCTATTTCTGGCATGTTTAGTTGCCATTTGCTATCCAGAAATACATGGTCCCCAACAAGGACCTAAGGAATCCTCTCTTAGAAGAATTAGATCCAGACACTGGGTTTTGAGCTTTTGGGGGTGTCCAGTGACTTGATTATGCTAGGGCAGTGGCATGCACACTCCCACCAGCCTCATTATACACTGCTCAAGCTGGCTCTGGGCTCCACTGCCCTGACCTTCAGCTACTGCAGAGCTTGCTTGAAGTGCTGTGATATTAGCAGAAAGGAACAAGATCCAGGACTCACGGGAGTCAGGATGTTGCTGGGTAAGCGAGAGCACAAGGCCACCGTTGCCATTTCCTGTGACCAAGACCAGCTCTCACCCTCAAAGCCTCATCCCTTCTTGTCTGGCCTTTTTCTTACTGAGCCTTAAGATTTCAGAAGAGGGACTCTTGATCAAGACAAATTTAATCAACCTTTTCAAGGAACCCACCTTGGAAACTTTTAAAACATTGTCTCTCCTTCCCATTTAAGCTACCAAAGGATAAATTAGTGGCATAGTCTTATCTCAAGAGGCTTTACATTCAACATGTAAGTAATTATGTCCCTTTGTACCTGGTTCCTATCACTGTAGAGAGACAAGAGGGAGCTGGATTCTTCCGGGATCATTCATAGATCCAAGCATAGCCAAGCTCAGTGGGTCAGCAAAAGGTAAATGTGAAGAGCAGCAAATTGTAACCTCTATCACAGCCCTCTGTCCTATGACAGTGATAAGCACTGTCTGTCTTCGCCAGTTCCTCACTTAGGTCATTCCTCATAGGTGAACAGATAACATAGCAACACCAGTCATTGGAGATGAGCCGGTTTTATTGCTTACACAGTTAATTCTCTGGCATGCTATGTCCATCCCTAAGAAGTCTTGTGGAATGGGCTCCTAATTCGCTCATCCCACATGCAAAGACGCGTCGCAGGAGGACCTCCTCGGCAGTCCTGCACACCGACCTCGCAGTTTTGCATTTAAAGGCAAGGTTGCCTTTTAAATTAAAACAAAGGGGCTGGGGATTTAGCTCAGCGGCAAAAGCGCCTGCCTGGCAAGCGCAAGGTCGTGAGTTCGGTTCCCGGTACCGGAGAAAAACCAAAACCAAAAAAAATTAATTAATTAATTAATTAAAACAAAAACCATCTACTTTTAAACACTGAAAGTGGATGCCATTGATTTGGAATTAAGAATACAAATCAGATAAAGCCAGTATTATCAAGACATATGCCCCAAAAAGTGACACTGTACATCAAGTCACATGGTGTCATGCTAGTGGTTGAAAAATAAAAATTTTTTCAAGATTGCTTCTATTTTTATTTTAAAATGTTAAGAAAATGGTAGGCTAAATCACACAAGTTACATTTGTGTAGATCAAAACTGTTGGTTTTCAACAGTTTTATACGGCTTGACAATATAAAATCACTGAGACCCATATTCTACCTCCTCTAATTAACAGCTGCTAAAACCTTTGCTGTAGATACTTTCCCTTGCTTTGTGAAAGAAGTGAAACAGTACAAGATTCAGCTAAAGTCCTCTTCATGACAACTCCAGACTCAAGGCTTCTCCCTGACTAAGGACAATACTGTCTAAGTTTTACGGGTATTTTCATCATTTCACACATATTCACCAAGGCACAAATCTATGTTGACTTAAATTTTCCTGTTTTATCATGTCCTGTCTTCCTGTTCCAAAAAGGAAAGGGAGGGCTGTCAGTCACCTTCCTTGTGTAGATCCCTTTTAACCCCCTATTACCTTTTCTCTTTCTTTTTGAAAATCATAAAATAACTTAAAACTCACACGGTCGTGTGTGTGTGTGTGTGTGTGTGTGTGTGTGTGTGTGAACCCAGAACCTCATGCAAGCTAGACAAGAACTCTACCACTGAGCTACATCTCTTGCCCTTTCTAAAATTTTATTTTGAGAGCAGCTGTTACTAAATTACCTGCCTCAGCCTCCCTGGTGGGTGGAATTGCAGGCAAGCACACCACTCCCAGCTATCTAGGGCTGTCTTTGAATTTTTTCATGAGGATTTCTCAAGAAAACTCAGACAAGACAACCATCTCTTAATTCTATGGCATAGGGGAGGACCGTTCAAGCCCAGAAAACTCAGGGTAAACTGAACATCTAGTTGTTTTCCTGTCTTGAGCTTCCTCTTAATCTCCACTTTCACACCCTCCCAGGAGAAAAGGTGTTCTTTAGATGGATCTATTCTGTCAGCGAATCTCTGTCACGGTGTTAATAAGATCGTGACATGACCGAGTGCAGAACGAACAAAGTGATCTAGGAAGGCCACTAGGATGTATGGTGAGATGAAATATGGACCAAGTCAGAAAGGGAAAATTCTTCTGCTCACAGTTCCAACCACAGAAGAAATGAAAACGGAGACAGGCAAATAAGACTCTCCATGCTTTAAAAGCTAAAAATTGAAAAGAACATGATACTTAGCCTGCATTCTTCTACTTGATTCTAGTGATCTTTGAATTCCTTTGAAAAAATCTTTTTCATTATCGTCAGTTATTTCAAGTAGTATCACATCAACTTCTTTTCCAGACTAATTAGAAATTCTTTACCCCTTTCTAAGTCATTGTCTAAGTTATTCTATGAGGTAAGATTAAAAAAAAAAAAAAACCATGGTGAATGTTTAACTCTTTTTAAAAAAATGTATTACAGTCAAAGACACATTGACATTATTCTCCCTCAAAATCCTGCACTTAACTTGCTTAACTTATACTTACCCCATCATTCTTGTCACTTTCTAAAGCAATTCTGCTGTCCTCTTTCCTGAGTGTCTTTAGTTGTGCTGTTGCAGCTGCCTCCATGTCCTCAGTCAGTTCAAAGCATTTACTCTTCATGGTTCTTTTGACTTTGGGGAAGAGCCAGAAGTCACATGGAGCCTGATCAGGTGAATGAGGTGGATGAGGACACACAGTGAGGTTTTTATTTGATGAAAATTGCCATAAGCATTTGATCAACAAACTGATTTTAAAAATATAGTGACTGTTTACATTAAAAGTTATTACAGTGAAAGACACATTACCATTCATCCTTCCCAAAATACTTCAAAGACTTTCCCTCACTTTGAACATAATTATCTCATCATTCTTAGCAATGTGTCTTTTACTGTAATAAGTTATTTTAAAACTTAAATATTTACCACATCTTTTGATCAGCCTTTGTATATATGAGACATTTAAAGTTTCTTTGTTCAAATCCTGAATTAATTTATGCATTCATAATTTGGGCACCAACTAAAGCTAAGCTCTATGACATATTAACTGGGTGGTGGAATCCTCTTTTGTGGTTATGACTATTTTGAATGTTGAATGACTGTATTCCAGTACATCTCCCCTTGTGTCAGTTTGCTTTATCTGCACTCCATTTGCATTTGCAGCCTTGTTTCACATTAATAAGTTTGCTACAAGGATTTTATAACCGCTCTTAGCAAAAAGAAGATTCTACATGAAATATTCTTATGACATCCCAGTATGGCAACTTTAGTCATTAAAATAAATCTCTCTGTCACAATTAATGTTTAATCTGGATTTTTGTAATAGTAATAGACATACATTAGACTATATTTATTTCAATAAATGCCTTTTCCCCAGGGGCTCCCAGTCATTCTGGTACAACTCAATATACTGATGGGCCAACATCTTTCATAGCGGCTGGTTCATTTTGTCTAATGGCTGTTGTTACTGCTGAACTTCCTTCAATAAAATAATCCTTCTCTCCTAGGAGGTGGAGGCTAACGTGCCCAAGGAGGGACTGACAGTTCCAGATGTATTAGCAGCCTGGAGCCCTGAGGCTGCTAATGCATTTGATCTAGAGTAGCATGTCTTTCTTTGATCTAGGTCTTCCAGCTCCATAACTGTTTCCTCTATGTCTCTACCTTGTCTATCTTCCCCAAAGGTTCTTGTTTTTTAACTTGAATGTAAGTCAGTCAGATTGTTTTGGAAAGTTGGCAGGTTCTAGGAAATAAGTATGTGAAGAACTTGATCCAATTTAAGCAGAATATTTAAATGGAACTCACCTAGCTTTGGTAACAGAAATCTAATACTGTATTGCTGCATATATAATTTTACACTGTCTAGTGGCCAGTTGAAAAGGTAAAAAGAAGTAGGTTATCGTCAATATTTTATTTAACTCAATACACCCAAAATGTTATTTCAATATGCAATCAACATGGATATATTTATGAGATATTTTAATTTTTTGGACTAAGGCTTCGAGATGCAGTATTTTTTTTATATTTCTAATATGTCTCAATGTAGAGCAACCACATCTAAAACAAATGGTTCTCCACTGACTGGCTGACACCTTGGGTTTGCCATGCATTCTCTCTTGACATATGTGCTATGTCTATAAAACTAAGGCACTGTGCAGTAGGATCTCTCTTACCTATATGTTGCTATGGAGCATTTGTTTTAAATGTGGTTGGTCTACATTGAGACGTATTAGAAATATAATATACATACTTGATCTTGAAGCCTTAGTTCAAAAAATTAAAATATCTCATAAATATTTCCACATTGATTGCATATTGAAATAACATTTTGCAGGGCTGGGGATTTAGCTCAGTGGCACAGTGCCTGCCTGGCAAGCGCAAGGTCGTGAGTTCGATTCCTGGTACCAGAAGAAAAACAAACAAAAAAAGAGAATAACATTTTGGGGTATACTGAGTTAAATAAAATAAATTATTGACGATAACCTATTTCTTTTTACCTTATCAACTGGCCACTTGATAGTGTAAAATTACATATGCAGCAATACCGTATTAGATTTCTGTTATTCAAAACTAGGTGAGTTATAAGGTCCCTTCCATTTTAATATGCTGCTTAAATTGGATTAAATTCTTCATATACTTATTTTCTAGAACCTGCCAACTTTCCTTCTTTCATCTCAGAGTCCTCCAGCTCTGTTACCCAATGAACATTGTGGTAGAGTTGGATCTGGGCCTTCAATACAATTGTGAGCACTCTCTTAAAATAATAGACATCAGCTTTGGATGAGTGCCTACAGTTTCCAGCCATTGAAGTAGGCATCTACTTAAAACAACTGTGCAGGAAGAAGAATGTGTTTCTTTGAGTTTTTTGGTGCCATGAATCGAACTCATGACCTCACTCTTGCCAGGCAGGCACTGTGCCACTGAGATATATCCCCAGCCCCAGGAATAAGAATGTACTCCCATTTCCAGAGTAAGATTTCAAAGTTCAGAAATAATCAGTTACCTCCAAAATGACCCACTTTAGATTTTAGACCAGCTCCGTGTGGCTGAAAGACTTGGACTCTTTTTCGTGCAAGCCAATGTCCTTTCTCTCCCATGGAAATCCTTCCATCAGGTCTGTTAGAAACACAGAAATTCAAGCCCTGCTCCAGACATAAACATTACATTCTGTCAAGATCCCGAGAGATTCATATGAAATCAGTGGCATCTGAACAAAATACAGATCTCTCCATGAACTGAATTTCTTAGAGAAAACAGCAGATTTGTCCCATAGGGGACATAGTAGATAATGAGAAATACCTTTTGAACTGAATTAAAACATGAGAAAAAAAGCAATAGCAGGGACTTTTAAGGAAGAAAAAACAAGAATAGACTTTTTAGTTAAAACTCAGTTTCAGAAGTAAATCTTAAAATGATGGAATGCCTCATCACAATACCCGCCCCTTTTTGCTTGACCTTTCCCCACCTGTTATGTCAGGGACATGGGAACTGCTCTCCTACCGTGGGAAATGCACGGAGTGAGAGGGAAGCATTCACGAGTTTGCGCGCAAGTGTGTCAGCATCACACAGGGAAAGGCGTACACGGCCTCCGTGGCTGGATTTGTAGCTCGCCACGGCCTGGCTCCCAAGAGCTCTGTCCATTTCTTGAAATTGAGCTCCAGCTGAGCTTTGCACGGTGTTCCTAAAAGTGGCTCTTGCTATTCAGCCAAAGGTTGATTGTGTGTTTATCCTGAGCCTCTTCCGTCACATTTCCAGTATTTTCCTCATGTGCTACGATGCCCTCTGCTTTCCCCTCATCCAGCATGCGGTAGTTACTTAAGCAGGTGTTGGTAATAAGCCTGGACATTCTGGGTGGAAAGTGGATGATGTGAGCAGCGCAGTTTCTCAAAAGACTGAACCTGTGCAAACACAGATCAGGAAGGTGTTTTTCATTCTCTCCGGACTCTAACTCAATAGGGCACCGTGGGTTATTTTCGTCCTTCAGAAAGCAACGGCGGTGTGATGTATAATAGCAGGGCTTCTAACCCATATTTCATTGTATCGCACAGGGCCCACGCAAGCTGTGTGTTAAGGAGATGAACAGCGGCATGGCTAAAAAGCAGGCCTGGCTTATAAAGAACAAAATCAAGGCTTTTTATGCTGCAGTGGCAGCAGACTATTTCAGAGACGGTGTCCGCAGTCTCCTTCAGGTAAGGCCAGCATGGAGGGGAGAGGCAAAAAGCCAAAGACAGTTAGTGCCCCACCTTCCCGAAGCTCCGGAATCCATGGGCTGAACGTCAGAGATCAGTGTGGGTGGCTATGAAATTCACTTCTGATTCCTGGGGCTGGCAAGGCTAGAACAAAAGCAGAGCGCAAGGTTCTATTACAGTGAACTATGAATGGTACACTGGGCAGGGGAAAACGAGGTTGCCTTTGGCCACCAGCAGTAAGACCTGCCACCCTGCACTTATTGAAATGCAAATTTGTTCCAGTGGTTGATGACATTCAGGATCCTATTAAAACTTCAAACTCTTTTTGCTTCTCATACTGCATATAGCAGTGCTCAGATCAGGCATTCTTTTCCTGTATTCTTTTGCAAATGGTGTGAGGGCACCTGCTAAACTCAACTAAATAAATGCGTGGTGATCAGGGCATAAAGTTTCCCGATCCTCCTGCATTATTTCCATAATAGTGAATAAAATGTAATCATCTCTACAGCTCAACATTAAAGTCCACAGCTTTTCCTCTTTTCTCCCTTATTCTCTTTCTCTTTCCTTCCTTTCTTTGCCTCTTCTACAGGGAGGACATAAAATCTTTCCTTGGTTCCCATATCTTAAAGTTCCAAAAACTCCTTAAAATAATCCAGGAGACCCTCAGAAATGGTAGGGCTTGGCTTTATAAAGCGTTGGCTTTAGTAGGGTTTAAAAACCATGGTTCTCTGTATCCCAAATGGCACATTTGGCTCTCAGAGCTGCCATATTCAGGAGTGTGGGAATCTACGACCTCACCCAGGTAACTTTGATGCTTCTGTAGCCAGAAAGAAAGCATAGCCGAGCTGGAACGTTCTGGAGATTAGGAGTATTTGATGCATCCTGACTCAGATGTGCCTAGAAAACCATTACTGAAAGACCTGGTACCCACAGGGAGCTTCCTTTCATCTGTCATTCATGGGCCAACCTACGGAAGTAGATGTTATTACAAAATGCCAATTTCTCTTTCTGTAGTAAGTTCCTTTCAGGAGCTCTTGTTCAAATGTCTTGGGAAGGTTGTACACTGAAAATTACCACAAAAGATTTGAAAAATAATAAAATTTTCAAGTAGGAATGGGAACACAGACAAAGAATCAGAGCAGTCCAGGAAAAGGCATAGGTGTGGGAAAGAATTCTTATATTTGTCCAGAATGAATGGCAAAATACTTGCCTGTGCATAAATGCCTATGAACGTCTCTGTATACAGAGGGGTTGTGGCCAAAAAGCAGGGCAGAGTGGTATGTTTTTAAAAAGAGCTGGCAATGTATCTCAGTGCGAAGTTTCGATCCCCAGTACTACTGGATAGGTAGATAAGAGAGAGAGACAGAGAGAGAGAGAGAGAAAGAGCCCAGCTCTAGTCATTTCTTTCACTGTTTCCACAGTCCTGGTGGCCTTCCTTTGCTCCCACTGCATTTCCTACCTTTGCTTGTCAACATCTAAGCAAACTCCAAGACCCACAACACCACCCTTCTCATGAAACTGTCTGTCACCTTCGCCTGGGATCCAAGTTTTCTGTCCTGTGTTTAGGGAGCCCCTATGGCACCAACAATTATGTGTATGTACCTTTTATTCTAAGTTCCTTAACACCAAGGAATCTTCTTCACTGCTCTCTCATTAACATATCACTTTGCAATTAATAGGAGCCTGATAATATTGCTAAATTAAATTTGATTCCCTGGAACCCATATCCTTTCCTCTAATGGAGGAAAATGAAACTTCTGGTATAGAATATATTAATGATACTGTCAAGCAAGCAGATTAGGTTTTGGAAACATAGTTCACTCATTTCTTCAATAAATAATGTAAGAAGGATTTCAATGATCCTTGTATATAAGAATTTCCCAAACATGGATTTTATTGCTCATGGCATTATGGGTAGGACAGGTGGTCATGCGCTCTGAACCACTAAGTTATAACATGCATACCAACAGTTAAGCCGACCCTTACTTGATTTTAAATTATTGAACCATTTTAATGAGTGTGTCAGAAGAAATGCAAATGACGGCTAATTTAGAAAAGCTACATTTCTGTCATCTAAAATCCATTTATGGCTGAGATGATTTAGAACTAATCTTTCTATTTTATGCTTGGGTACAGGCATGAAGGACATGCACTAAAATGTAATCTAATCTTCAGAATCTTCAGAACGTTACTTCAGTGCTCTGTTGGACATTATTTTTCATTTGCAGTTGTACTTTCCAAGTGCGGTAAGGATCGCCCATGTGTTTGTGTCCTCTATTTAGGCCTCGGGCTTAGGGAGAATGAAGCCAAACACTCTGGTGATTGGATATAAAAAAAACTGGAGGAAAGCTCCCTTGACAGAGATTGAGAACTACGTGGGAATCATCCAGTAAGTGATGGCTTGTGGGACGAGCTCTTGTTTATAACACACGAACCAGGGTGATATAGAACCGGTCTGTGCGTAACAGAATGTGCCAGATTAAATGGTCTGCTCACAGCAATTCTGCCTGGCCTCTCCATTCCTTACCAAAGTGAGAAAGCACAGCATGTCGAGGAGGCCAGCAGGGGGCAACCTTAGCATCAAAGGGAAAGGTGAATATGTAAGAGTTACAGCCTTAAGTCTACTTATAAGATCGAAAGCAAAGGAGAGCTGGCTAGGGAAGGAATTTGTCTTTCAAAACAACTAGACTGTTGGCTTGGCTGTAGAGTCCAGGTCAGACATTGTCTTCTGAGCCTAGTGAATCATGTGCATTATCCCTGAACCCCAGACCTCCCTCTGCTGAGAGGGGATCCTCATGCCAAGTACTACCGCTACTAGATGTCCCAGGTCTGATTTAAGCACTGAAGGAAAGTGAGTGCAGCTGGTAGGTGGTACCTAATGGCTAAATATTTGAGGAATCTTGGAAAGAAGTGATAATGATAGACCTTAAAGAACTAGCAAGAACCAGGCTAACATCATTAATAAGTTATCCCATTTAATTCTCGCAAAAAAACCTTTGAAATAACTACTATTATTGTTTTCATTTTACAGAGAGTAAAAATGAGGTAACATGCTAAAAAAAATAGTCAAAATTTAGTAAGTGGCAGAGCTCGGATTCCAACCCAGGGCCATCTGAATTCAAAGATCAAGCACAGGACCTCAAAACGATGCTGCCTCCAAAAGCACATAACCACCTCCTACCTGGCTTGCTTTCTCCTTTTAAATAAGAGAAAACAAATTCTATGCATACAGAGATACACATCGTGGAAAACTGAACTTTTCTTCTAGGCTTCAAACTACTTAATCAGACAAAAGAGGCAACGTTAGCCACGCCCAACAGTCATCTTCTAAGGCCAACAAAAACAATGGCAAGTTTCCTTTGCCTGGTGTCTGGCTAAGCCCTGAAGTCACAGCACAGAACACAGAACACAGAACAGACCCTGGACTCAAACCAGGGGGCACAAACCATGCCACAAGAGCTCTGGCTGCACTTAAATGTCCACGCTATACAGGGCAGAAAACCCTCACCCAACAAAGCAAGCATATATTGAGCATTACAGTCATCGTTATTTTAAGCACATTTGTGCAATGCCTTGTAAGCTCTATTGAAAAGAAGCAGAAGAAAGTTATTTCTATTGTCTGAAATTATTGCATTACTTACCAAACAGAAATTCACTTAACAGTGTATGGATTCTACATATTAAACTCATCATTTCCCAGACATAACTGGATACCGTGGACTGCCCTCCCACTTCTGCTGGTGATCTAAGTGCCCAAGATTAAGGCTAAACATGGAGGTTGGGATCAGAATTTACCAGACTCAACAAATAGCATTCTGTTAGACTCAAAATCACAAGCAGTTGCTGAGTGGTCTTGGAAATGGATTAGATCTGTCCCTCTGTTATTCACATTCTTCAGTCAAATTTAATTTTCACCTGGGAACAAAAGGAATAAGGGAAAATGATAAGCAAAAAGAAAGAAATGTGTAAGTCTTCAGAGAGTTCATTATTTGAAGAATTACTTGAGAATACCACTAAGCCTCCCTACCCTACCAAACATTCTAGAAATGCAAGGAATCAAAATAATTGGGCCCAATGATATGAACCAAGGAGTTCTCTGGTTTTCAATGTTAAAGGGGTCACATTTATTCTAGTATAAAACCCAGCTGTGTGACTAAAGCTAGATGCCTTTGCTATCACAGCAATGAAGACAATCATGTATCTGTATTACATTCTCCCTTCTGATTTTTTTTCTTTTTCTTTTCCATGAAACACTGTGTTACTAACACTATCATAAGATGACAGTATTTTACCATTTTTCTTTGGATCAACAGTTTCAAGTGTCTGCAATATTCTTAAGTATGGTTCAATTTTAATTCAAAGCTGTTTCTATGGCTGCCTCTAGGAGCCTGGAGGGTACGTCGCTTAGCCGTCCTTTCTAGCTTCCCGCGGCTGCCAGTGTGCCTGCCCTTGCCTAATCTTCAAAGCCAGAAATAGCCAAGTCCATGTCATGTCACATTACCCAACCTCCTCCTCTGACCCTTGATTTCACTTTTAAGCTTCCTGTGATGCACATGGCCTACCATGTAATCCAGGGTAATCTCTCCATTCTAAACGCCTTAGCCTAATCACATCTACAAAGCCCCTTTTGCTATGTAAGGAAGCATATTCACAGAGTCTAGGATGAGGACATCCTGGAGAACCTGTTGTTCTACCTCATGTGGTAACCAAATTATTTCTGTGGAACACATAGTCTATTTTTTATAACCAAGAACAATTACAGACAAGGTTTGTTTATATGGAATTTACTTTGTGGCAAATTTTGCCTGTTGGATCTATTTTGGTAAATGAAGATCATTCATGGTGTTGTTTTTGTTTTTGTTTCTGAGACAAGGTCTCTCTATGTAGTCCAGGCTGGCCTTAAACTCATGGTGATTTTCTTGCTTCGGCCCCCAAAATGTTGGGATTACAGGAGTGTGCTGCCATGCCCAGCTTCAGGGTTTGAGTTCTGAGTAGATATTTATATTGCACTAAACTCATTTGCATCCTCTGAAAGTTCAGGTTGACTTTGGCTATTGGGGACTTGTTTTAAAAGGTATAAAGGAAGAATAAACACATGAAAAGGCATCAGCTCTTGGCTGTATTCTAAAGTGAATTTTAATGGTTTCATGACATCAAAAATCCTAAAGGCAAGTTGAACATTAACCCGAAGCTCGAGGATTAACGGAGCCATTTGAAGCACTCATGACCTTATTTCCCCTTTCAGTGACGCATTTGACTTTGAGATTGGCGTGGTCATCGTCAGAATCAGCCAAGGGTTTGACATCTCTCAGGTTCTTCAGGTGCAAGGTATGTACTTTATTTATTCAACCAACAAATACTTACTGAGCACCTATTATGTGCCTGACATTCTTCTAGGTGGTTAGGGTAAATAAGTGAATGATACAGACAAAAATCCTTGATCAGGGAGTTTGACTTTCCATGCTGACCCAGTGTGTATATTTTCCCAGTGTTTTTCCATTGCTAACATAAACTGCCTTTTCCCTGCTACCCAGAATCATAAAGTAACTCTGGATAGTTATCAATTATTTTCTCTTATCACAAAACCACAAAACCAGCATCAAGGAAAATAAACACCTTCCGTAAAAATAGCCTGCCAAATTAATTTCTGCTGTTTCAGAAAATGAAGATTAATTCTTTCCTCAGAAAAACATGTATTTTGCTTTGAAGGGTCTATGAACTGGTTTATAGCTAACATGAAAATAAGCCTGAATGTATCGTGCTGCGAATCACTAATCTAAGTCAGAGGCAGAAACACTAATTCAGATTAGTGGCTCTGTTTTTTCCCTGTAGAGAATGTGGTATACTTATTTACTCTCAGAATTTAAACATCCCCTCTTTGTGTATGAAGTAAAGAACATGTTTGAAGAGTTACTGAAAGATTAAGACAAGACTATCTGTTCAGCTGAACTGCACAATAGGGTTTGTTGATGACATGATACCAAGACTAAGGGACATTTTTGGGTACCTATTATGTAGCAGGCATAATGTGGGTGAAGATGCTTGGTTGAATAAGATTAATAGGCTTGGTCTATATCCTCAAGAGACAGCTGAGTAAGGGAAATGGTTGTATTATCAGTTTGACAATAGATATAAATAAGGTATAATGGGAAAGAAAAAAGGGGCAGTTAACCCCGAAAAGGCTTCCAGGGGGAAGTTTAATTTGTGAATTCATAGATGAGAGATAACTAGGCAATGCTGACGGAGAGAAAAACAGAGAGTTGGGAAGCAGCATGCTTGGCAAAGAGGAAAGCATTTGCAAAGACTGGGACATCTGCATGTGGAAGAACAGGGTTTCTGGGCCACAGAAGCAGATAAGTGTCACAGAAGCAAACCAATACGCAGTAGACCAGAGCAAGGTGCTGGGTTTCCCGCATGAGGGCGGTCTGGACTTCACAAGCTTCACCTGCCCTCTGAGAAAGTGTGGACCCCATTCTGCAGATAATGAGGACCATCCAGGAGACTGAAGTGAGGGAGGGATGTGGTCAGACTTGGGTTCTGGAGCTCATGCTCTTCCCGTTAGGTAGAGCAACACTCAAAGACGACCAGGATTGACACAGAGAGACAAATCAAGGGGATTTCTACAGTTGTCAAAGCAAGAGACAGCAACAGTTTGATCCAGGGAAGCCTCTGTGGGGGTGGAGAGGAAAGGACAGGAGGGAGAAGTGTTTCAGAGGTACACAGTGCAGCACTGAGAACTTGACTGTAGGGTATAGAAAATGGGGGAGCAAAAAAAAAATCTTGCACTAAAAGAACAAGAGTGCTACCAGGGGAAGTGGGAAGTGCAAGAGGAAGAGTGGCTTTAACAAGCAGAAGCCTGGCTCAGTGTCACACAGTCTCCTGTGGGAAGTTCTATGGGCCGTGTCCAATAGGCAACTGACTGTCCTACTTTTAACAGAGGACTCTGAGGTTGAGGTATACATTTAGGCTTATTGGCTAAACTGTCTTCCACAGGGCTCACCAAATTCCTATGTGAAAGTCCAGTTTGATATCTCAGAATGTGGACTGTATTTGGAGACAGGGTCTTTAAAGAAGTCATGAGTGTAAACAGGATTGTACTGGCAGACCCTAATCCAATAACCCTAGTGTCCTTATAAAAAGAGATTAGGACACTGACCTAGGGGCTGCCACGCAAGGTGAGAAAACAGTCACCTTCAAGCCATGGAGAGGGGCCTTAGGGTAGAACTGTATCTGCTGACACCTTGACCTTAGAGTCAGCCTCCAGAACTGTGAGAATGGGGGCTGGGGATTTAGCTCAGTGGCAAAGCGCCTGCCTGGCAAGCGCAAGGTCGTGAGTTCGGTTCCCGGTACTGGAGAAAAACCAAAAAAAAAAAACAAACAAACAAACCAGAACTGTGAGAAGGTAAAGTTCTGCTTTTAAACCACCTAATGTGTGCTGCTTTCAATGGCAGGTAAGGTAGAAGTTGAAACTGTGATCCCAGAAAGTATTGGTTGAAAGTGTTGTTGAGATCTCCATGCACGGGAAAGGGGCCCCCAAAGAAGGAGCAAGGAACAAGAGGACAAAAAAGGAAAAGAAGCAGGAGGCCGAAGTCATGGGAGCCATGGAAACAGAGTGCTCAGGACTGGAAAGTAACCAACACTATCAAGCCCAGCAAAGAAATCCAATAAGAAAAGGAATGAAATGTAGTTGATAGAACACAGACAGTCTCGGTGAGAGCAATTTCACTAGAGCAGTGCTGTCAGAACTCATGCTGCAGTGGGTTAAGGAGCGATGAGGAGATGATAAACAGCAGAGAATGTGGATGTGGCCGCCATTTTGAGAAGTTAGGATAAGGAATGAGATGGTGGGGATTCATACGGGAGAGGTAAGACCGTTAAGTAGGAGATGTGGGCATGTTTCCAGTCTGAGGCAGTGGGCACAGGAGAGAGGGCAAGAGGGAAGATGTCAGCAAAGAAAGGGATGACCCACGGAGCAAGGAGCAGGAGGAATGGGAAATTAAGAGAAAGGCACAGATGGAGAAGTTCACCAGAAAGAGGAGAGAAAATTGGAGCAAAATTGGGGCTGGGGATTTAGCTCAGCGGCACAGCGCCTGCCTGGCAAGCGCAAGGTTGTGAGTTCGATTCCCGGTACCAGAAAAATAAATAAATAAATAAATAAAATTGGAGCAAAATAGATGAGTGATGATGAGATACACAGATCTGTGAGAGCGGAGTGGTAAACTGAGGAAGATGACGAGGTGCTGAGCTATAAAGCTGAGAGCAAGATACATCCTGGACATACTTGTATCTTCTAGTACGTTCAACCTCATGTTTTATGCCCGTTCCTCTTTACATGGACCTTTTACATCTCCAGATTAAACACACTCCCTGCCATTCCATGACCATGAGTAATTTCTATCCCTTTGGGGTAGAATTTCATATGTTTATAGCAATAATAGCTGACGGTTTCAAGTCCTCATCGTGTGCCGTGTGTTACGCTTCAGGTCCCCATATACCATCACACCAACTACCCTAGGAGGAAAGTAGCGTGGCCCCCACCTCACAGCTTGCCTAAGATTCAGAAAGGTGGTAACGGGCAGAGGCAAGAGAAACCTTCGTCCGTCGGAAGCCACTAGTCTACCTTTTGAAAAGGAGAGATCAAGAAGTCAGTGACACACAGGAGAGGTGAAATCTGAGATGCCGGAATGGGGCAAAGCTGTCCCATGTGCACCTTCAGACACTCTACTTAGCACCGCCTGCCTATGATAAGACAGACCGACCCTGGGGGAGATAACAAGAACCTAATCCCAAGACCTTCCTAGGTTTCACTGTAGTTTCTTTTCTGGCTTTTGTCTTATAATATTTTTCCATTTGAAAAATGAGAATGAAGAATACCATTTGTATTAGGTTGTGCTCTTGGTTGTGCATTGTGCTGATGTTTTTGGAGCTGATAGACATGATGTAGCTGAGAAATAATGTTCCCACCTTTCACTGTTGCTTCTACCAAAATATGCCATCAGTTTATTTCTATAAAGTTATGCGGTAACTAAATTCTGTAGAAATTCTCAAAGAACCTGGCAGTGAACTGCATCCTCTTGTAATTTCCCAAGGGATCCAGCCTATTTAAATCAACTTTGATGTCTGAAATATTTCTACTTCTTAGTCAAGAAAGGAAAAATACAGTTGGATGCTAATGAAATAATTATAAGCACCAAGTATCTAGGGTAAACAAACAAAAAACAACATTGCACAAATACATGAAGAACATGTATAAACAGCAGCATAATGACAGAAATTAACTTTATGCTGCAGTTCCATGCATTATTTTGACGTTTATGTAATTTATGACACAAACCTCATATTAGATTTTGAATTGGAAGAAACAAGCTTGCATTTCATTATATTATACTGTAATATAGAGCTTAATAAGAGCCTGATAAATCTTAGGTATTGCATTATACTATGTTAATGATTATCATCATAGCTTTTCCAACACAGCACCATAGTGTCATCACAGATTATAATTTAAAGGAAATATTAGCAATTCAGAGTGCCCGTGCACTGTAGTTAATAAAGCAGTGAATCGAAATCAGCTTTATAGGTAATTTACCAGCTAATGGCGATTATTTCTATACTGTGTCACCAGCTTATATGAGGAGAATAACTTTTTGTCTAAATAAGATCGATGCTCATAACATTTTAACTTAGGTACTGCAGCAACTCAGCCAGTACTGATGACTGATAGTGTCTCTTAATAAGTTAATTTATTGCCTGACGCTGCACACGCCTACACACACACACACACACACACACACACACACACACAAAATGCAGTATTTCATATTATGCACTTCCCAAGGGTATTTAGCAAGTTTGCCAACTACAAAAAGAGTGCAAATTGTACTGGTAGAAAATAAAGTGATGAAACGTGATTCGTAATATATTGTGGTCAAGCATGGCGTGTAAGTAGTGCACGATTTATGGCCATCTGAGAACACGGCAATACTGCCGTGTCTGATCGAGTGGCTTAGCAAAATAAAGACAGATGGCGGGGCAGTGAGTAATGACTTGATTGGAAGGCACCCGCTGCAGGATCGCTTCCTGCTTGCAATTCGGTGGGGCTTCACCTGGGGCTCGGCACATTGATCGAGACGAGCATTTATGGCTTTGAGTTGATTGAAAGAGAATCATAACTTAATAATTAATAAAGAAAAAGGATGCCGTACAGTGGGGAGGCTGTGATTCCCCAGTGGGTTTCTCTGCTCTCCCCTCTGCTACCAGATAATTGACTGCACTCTGTCCTTCAGATTCAAAGCAGATGGTGATGTGTAGGTCGCTGCCTGTGTCTAAAAGACACCATCTTTAAAGAAAGATAAGATTGATGATAGAACAGTTGAGACCATTCTGACAGCTAAATTGAATTTCAAAATATAGTCACTCCAATTGGTTAACATACGTTCAATTGATAAAGGGCTTCACAATGTGGTACGTACCATTTGGAGTTTTGGTGTCTGCTTGGAAAAGTGGCTCAGGACTCTGTTGTCTCGGGGAGAACTGTTTGGGATAGGTCTGAGGAAACCAGCCATAATCCCACTCTCAACTGAGACAGCCTAGAGCTCTGCACTTTCTCTCCCACCATATGACCTCAGGGATTCTCTGAAAATCTTGAAAAGGGAAGGCAGACAGTGGGCACATCTCCGAGGAGGGAGAGACGCAGAAGTTTTGTGTCACTAGCTGTGTGGCCTTGGAATAATTAGTTGAATGTTCTGAGCCCAAGTTTCCTTTTCAGCGAAGTGAGGATACTGACCCCGGCTCAGCCTGTACCCCAGGGCCGGTATCAAATTAGACACTGTGTGGAGAGGGTTCTTCAGTCCCTGGCACTGAAAGTCTCACGTGACGGTGGTGTTGATGGTGGTGGTACTGACGGGATGAATCATCTTTGTCAGCTTAGTGAAAATCAATCTCCATCTATCCATTCACACTTCCTTGGCTTGCTCCCCGGTGTGACTAATGGTATGCTTTTGCAAGTCCTCTGGCCAATATTGCTGTCGAAAGAAACGTTTTGACAGTCTCCTGATTTCCAGTGCAAACAGAGGCAGGCAGCACACTAGACGACAATGCAGAAAGAAGGCCACCAGAACAGCACTTCTGGCAGCACTGGGGTATAAGGGGGTCATGTGCTAAGGAGGCCTTCCATCACCTACAAAGTGAATAATTAAGAATTAACTCTAATAAGAAACTGCAAGATCACTGGGCAAGTGAGAATCTCACCACTGTGTGGGATTGAAAAACCTAAGATAGCAAAAAAAGAAAAGAGCCAATTTTAGCCCTTAGACTAGACTGTCCACCTCTGCCGCCATGGTCTTTGAGGGAATAGCTGAGTCGGAAGCATTCTAGCAGCGCTGGGCTTTGTCTCGCGGGCAAGGCTTTTGCAGCCCGCTCTGTCGCGGACGGGCTGCGCACTTACCTTCCAGCAAGCTGCTGGCGCGGCTCCCAGTCTGCCCAGCCAGCTGACGGGCTTACAAAGGAGGATTTATCTTTGCTCCGTCTTTGTCCAAACTACAGGACAAAGAACATGGCAATTAGCGGCTGATCACAGGCTAAGCTGGGGCCTGCCAGAAAAATGAACAGAAGAGCCTCCTCCTCCAGGACAGCCCCCCAACCCCGGGAGCTCACAAATAAGTACTTCACCAGGTCGGCAAAGAGGCCACCCCCCAGCTGGCCTCCCACACCCCAAGAGGCTGGATTGCAGTTAGGAAGCTATCGCCAGAGCCGAGACCATGAGGTCTGGCTGCCGCCTGGGGCAGCCTCCTTACTGTACCCACATCTTTACAGCCTACCCATTAGGATGGCATCTTCTGGGGCTGTCGTGCGGGCGATTCTCTTGGCATTGCACTCGGTGCCTACAAATCCGTCCAGTGATGAGGAGTTGGAGGTTAAGAGAACAGCTGTGCAATAGTAGTCACTGACCACAGGGGGTCTTCGTGGTCAGAAGCACCCAGGATTTGGAGTCAAGCAGATATTGTTGCCTTTGAACCCTGTAATTTCATGAGGTGCTATCAGACAGTTTACTTAACTTTTAAGTCTCATTTCTTCGCCTATAAAATGAAGACAATCATAACAAGGATCTCAGAGTTGTTTGGGAAGGAATAAAACCCAGCACCTTCCCCGACACCCAAGAGCATGCAGTAAATAATAACTGGGAAACTCCGGGGGTTTCTCTGAATGCTCGGTTTGCATGTACAGGCCCACCTCCACAAGTTATGTAAACATACCGCCTATAGAATATAGCCCTTGGTTTGTTCTTTACAGAGCTCCAAAACACTATGTGAAAAACTGTTGTTGATTCTTCTTGCAAAGCTGGTACGGTGGGGAAGTGTTACAATTTTCCATTTCGCAGATAGGAAATCTGAGGCATAGCAAAACGCCACGACTTGCCTAACGTCACTTAAGATAGGGGTGGAACAACGTGACCCTGGGTCACGACCCTCAGGGCAGTGTGGCTCGCCTCCCCCTTTCAGTGTCAGAGGGAAGCAACTCCTGTCTGGGCTTGAATAGCAACCGTCTGATTTCTCTGATTTTCTATAGCTGCTGATCTTGAGAACCTTTGAAGCTTTGGGGAAATCACATGGGTGATTTGACCTTAAATCTCATGCCACCGGCAAAAGATTAATTGCTAAAACCTGGACAGGGGCCAGATGATTCTGTGGAGCAGAATAACAGCACCGTCCAGGGATGGGCCTGTCCTGACAGATTTAGTTAGTACATAATTGATAAATCTAGAGTGTGTATAGCCTTGCTGCACAGACAGATAAGGCAGTGGGCTCCGGGGTTGGGGTTGGCATTTACAGCAGCCCGGCCGGTGTCCTGTCACACCGCAGCTGGGCTTTCTGCTAGCCCAGGGTAAGCCAAAGACTCCTCGGCTGGGCACTGTCATGGGACTGCTTTAAAAATCCAGTCTGCCCTGACCCAGGACAGGGTGAGGTCGAAGAGTGATGTGAAATGTTACGTACCAGCTAGGAATTTTTTGTTACAATTAGAATCCAAAAAGGATAAAAAGGCTCCAGACGCGACATCAAAGTTCGGGCAATGGGCCTGCACCGGGGCCGGAAGTTTTGCACAGCCTGGCTCTGATTTCAGACCCCGGTGTCCTAAGAGCCTCATTAGCAGTTCTAACCTGCCAGGCGCCTGGAATGTCAGTTTTTAATCTTCAGCTCCACACAGTATTTTCCCAGACAGAAACTATGGTGTGGGGTATTTGTCACTGTAATCTGTACGCAGAGCTCAGAGAAGTTACAAGATGTGGTTACCTTTGCCTCATTCCTGCTCTCTAGTTGTACATCTCAAGTCAGGAGGGACTGCTGTGCGCCTGACCTAAACTTGGTGTGTTTTTGCAGTTTTGTCACTTCCAGTGGTAAAACACCCGACCCAGTGACTCGGGTCTGTACACCAGTGACTTCCAGTGTACGAGGCGGCTCGGGTTGTTTGCTTGTTTGTTTGAGACCAAAGAGAACACGGAAGGCCTTATGCAGCCTCTGTTGCCCTCACAGATCCAAGCCCAGTGATCTGTTATAACTGCGTGTGTACAGCTACTGTTTCGGAGCCCATTGTTATTATTTTCTGATTCCAATTCACTAAAATGTATTACTTAAAAAAAAATCATTCAGGAAGAAAATCACATTGTGCATCGATAACCATTTTATTGCATCGGCACCGCCGTAAACACTAAAATCGTTTATAGCCTGTCCCCGGAACCGGGGGCCCACCCGGCCAAGTAGCTGACTTTGTCTGCTTCCGCCAGATGAACTGGAGAAGCTGGAGCAGGAGAGGCTGGCGCTGGAAGCCACCATCAAGGACAGCGAGTGTGAGGAAGGAGGCGGGGGCATCCGAGGCTTGTTTAAAAAAGCCGGCAAGCTGAACATCACCAAGCCAGCTCCTAAAAAAGGTCAGTCCTCCTAACAGTTTCCAAGCGCGTAAATCTGAAGGTAAGCCACCGCATGAGCGCCTCTGAGAGGCCAGAGGTCAGCGTCCAAGACGTTGAGGGCCTGAGTGGAGGAAGGACCTGGAGGATTTCTTTCAAGAAAATGATACAGGTAAAAGGTGCAAGGCACTGTCACTGACCACCATCATTCAGTCTTTTGAACCATCTTACTGTAGAAAGTCATTTTAAAATCGTAACATCATGGAAAAATGAAAGGGCATAAAATAAAATAGTAATATTTTGTTTGGGAGTTATATGATCAAAAACGACAAGGAATGTTTAAATTTTTAAAAATGTATTACGGAAAAAAAAAATGTATTACGGTAAAAAACACATCCTCATCAATCTCCCTCAGTGTCCTCCCCGTACTTCCAACACGGTCATCCCATGGTTCTCACCACTGTCTGCAGCAGCTCTGGGGTCTTCTTTCCTGACTGTCTTCAATTATGTTGCCCTGGCTGCCTCGATGTCCCGAATCCATTCAAAATGTTTCCCTGGCGTGGTCATTCTGACTTTGGGGACGAGCCAGAAGTCACACAGCGCCAGACCCGGTGAATGAGGTGGGTGAGGACACAGCAGGATGTTTTTCTGAGCCTGCCTTTCTTCTGGATGGGCGCTCGGCAGCAACGGTCACCATATTTTTGATTGTACCTCTTAAAGACACTCAGAAAGGAGGATGTCCGGAACTCCAGAAAGTGGCAGTAATGATGGGACGACTGTATTCACAGCAAAGGGGAGCATTTTGAGGGGGATTAATAGCAACGTGTCTTTTACTGTAAAAGTTTTTTAATTTAAGCATTCACCCTGTAGCCTGATCACCCCTTGCATGGTGCTTCAGCAGAGCGAGTGCCTTAACGTAGAAATGCATTAGCTGAAATGGGAAGGGGATAGGAATTTAAGAACCAATACTCAAACTGTTTTATCTACGCCCACCTTACCTTGCTCAGGACCTGAAATTGACTTGTGTAGAACGCTAACTTCAAAACAAACATGCAGTATTTATTACAAATGGACATTAATTATCTGTAGATTTTGGCTTCAGTAGTAAACTTATTTCTGAATATCTGAAACATATTCAGGGACAGAGGACTGAAGGATGGGAGAGCGTGTTATAAATTTTATAAACAAGCGATTCAAACGACTGATCGATTTTTGAAAATTGCCTTTTCAAAAAAAAAACTGCACGTTTTTAATGAGGTCCACAGCGACCTCTGCTGGTAGAAAATCAGGGCGTTCGTATGCATTTTTTTTTTTTTTTTTTTTTTTCAACGCCCAAATACCTGAAAATGACTGAAGTCGTGCGCTGGTATGAGACAGGGCAAGATTATTTCTCCGGGAGGGTCTCCGAGTGAAATAGGAGGATTAGGTTGAGACTTACAGGCTTCTGCTTTAGGTTGACAGTAGACAGCCCTTTAAAGAGGCCACTTCCTACCCTGTTAATGGTTAGGTTCTGTTTGCGTGTTCCATAGGCCAAGCGTGACATTTCCCCTGTCATAGAACATTTTAAATATTTACCGAGAATGATGAGCAGTGCAAGTATAATCCCACTTCGAATACTAGAGTTACTCTCAGGTTCCTGGAATACCCCGTGGGCTGTGGGAGAGCTTTCTACCTACTGCTCGCTTTTAAAAATAACACTTTCCACGAAAATAATGTGTTTGAACCTAAAGTTGGTGTTCTATCAGGACTTTCAGGTGCAAAAATTACAATAAAACTTTTTTAAGTGTCTTCCTTCCTTTCTTTCTGGTTATTTGGTTTAGTGTGGCAAAAGCTAATTATCCAGTAAAGATGTACTGTTTGGTGAGACAGTCTAGATAAGCAATGGAAAACGCAAAGTCGCGGCCTGCTTTCATCCTCTTTCTCACTGGGACAGGGGAGCGTGGATATCCTCTTGCGTGAAAGCAGGCCTTGTCACTTATCCCAGAAGCCTGTTTCTACATTGCCGTACTTGTTTTGGCAAAAATATACTCCTCTGAAGATCGACCCAGCTCCATGTTCAGAAAAGTAAAATCATGTCCCGCCCTGCTTTCCGTACCGGCAGTTCAAACAGAGCTCTGAAGGGCGCCCACTCGTTACTGCAGGCGTTAGGGGGCGACCGTGCTCCCGGTTCCGGATCTAGACCAAGGCGGAGCCTGCTCACAGTAGCTCCTCACCATCCTCTGCTTGGCATGTGAGGGAGGGCAGTTTGGCCCATTCTGAAAATAAATTTACTTCCTTGCTGGCTCAGCTCAAAAACAACATAGGATCATTGCTTCAGAGCTGACAGGCCCCAGACCTGCAAAGAAAGCAAGCCAGAGCAAACCGTCTTCAGAAGCTGCCAGCTCAGAGAGGCTGTGGGCTCGACACACAGCACCATGCCAGCCCTGCCTTTGAAATGAGAGATGAAGTCACAGCTTTCAAAGGCGAGGACATGACACGGGGTGGCGAGGAAACCCTTCCGACCAACAGGAACAAGGCTTCTGCTCAGCACTCGCTCGGTACCCAGATTCAAGTGGAAAGTTTATTTTTTAAAAATTGCTTTGTTTTACATGCACCCTTGATTCTAACTCAGGCAAGGGAATGCTTCCTTTTACGTCTCCTGGCTTTTTTCGCCTCAGTTACAAAGATTCAAATGCCTTTACCAAGTGGTTTTACCTTTGCTTCGCAGAACTTTTCCTTGAAAAGAAAGCAAAAGAATACTGACCCAGGCCAACTGTGGAACCCGTTTCAGATGCGCGTGGGTCCCAAGCAACTCACACCAAAACAGTGCTTCCATGAACGAACGCTCCCACAAAAGACTATTTCTGATCCTTTTGCTTTTCTCTAGAAAACCCTATCATCCACAGGTTCTGTTTCCAAGTAAATTTGAAAGTATTACTTAATTTGATTTATATCTGAGATTTAGGAAAGTTGGGCTCTCAAATTATTTATGCTTCAACACTAATTCCACTCTGAGACAGACTAGTAAGGATCAGAAAAGCTTTATGATGAAAATTATGATCACAGAACCAACACCAAAGTTTCTTTAATGAGAGAGGGGGATCTAAATTACTGTAGGACTCATCCTTTATCTCTGCTCATTGGAGAAAAGAGCTCTTTATCAATAGGGATAAAAAACATGAACTCGTGACCTCTCCTATGTTTTCATCGATAGGTTTATTGGAAAGTTACTTTGTTTCCAGACTTAAAGACAAAGTGATCGGAGGTTGTCTGTTCCATTTCAGAAAGCAGCATTAACACCATCCAGTCGATGCATGTGGGGGAGTTCAACCAGAAACTGGTGGAAGCCAGCACTCAGTTCAAAAAGAAACAAGGAAAAGGAACAATTGATGTCTGGTGGCTGTTTGATGATGGAGGTAAAAAAAAAAAAAAAAAAAACACCTTCCAGAATATTCCAGAATGCACAGTAGAGAGCAGAATTCCTGTTTTGATAAATTGAGCAAATTGCACAGGAAGGTATATGAAAACGGTACAAAACTTCTGTGTTCTCAAGGGTAGTAAATTATTTAAGAGCTATGAATGTAGGCATGCATAAGAGTATAAACTTTCCACTTTTCTTGCAATTAGAGATACTCATCCTTTCTCCTTGAATCTCCTCTTTGTTTCAGGGTTAACACTGCTTATCCCCTATATCTTGACTCTTAGAAAAAAGTGGAAAGACTGTAAATTACGGATCTACGTGGGAGGGAAGATCAACCGCATTGAAGAAGAAAAAATTGCGTAAGAAGTTTACATTTAGCGTGTTCGGTCATTTCAGATGTTGGTTGTTTGCATGTTGTGACTGTAAGAGCTTTGAGTGTCTTTAATACGCAGTAGATGTAAGGCACGAAGCCACGTCATGCACCTTGTGTTTACTTGGTTATCTGGCCAATAAATTATGTGCATGATTTTTTAAGTCACTGTCTGCCAGTCCCCTTATCCCCTGCCACAAATACTTTCCAAAAGGAATTTGGGATCTTGTGTAATGTTCATCATTGTTCTGACAGTAAGTGCGTCCAAGAGAGGAAGATCCTAGAAGAATTTGCATGTGAGTGTTTCTCCTGGGAGAACACAAACCCACTCGCTCGTGGCAGACAGTCTCAGCACAGCATGCAGGAAAGAGAACTAAACCCAAAGCCCATGTCTGTCACCAAGGAGCTGAGAGGCTCTGTGACAGCCACTGAACAGATCTGGGTCCCCCGCTTCTCGTGCATAGTTTGAAAAGTTTAAATGGGTGATGGTCCAGAACTCCCGTCACTAAAAGAAAAAGTCCCAGTTCGTATTTCTGTATATGTTGCACTAATTTGCTCAGACAGCAAGTCTACCGAAATGGCACAATTCAGGCCTCTGATGACTCTGGCCCATTGTCATCCTGAGCTCAGGCACATCCAAAAAATCAAAGAATAATGACAGGACTTGTATTCATTTGTTTTTCATATTTTCTTCTCACTCTTAAGAGGATGTCATTGTGATACTGCCCCCCACACACACTCCTATTAGTGAGTGTATAAATATATCCATATATTTATTTTCAATGAAAACAATATAATGTGCATACATTACTATTATATATATTTAGTTCTTCTGAAGAGAATCATGTTAAAATAGAAACCAACATGATATATGTACTAATGTATATTTCTTACAAACTCTAGTACCTTTCTGATAAAACTGATGAAATTTGAAGATGGTTTGAAGATGAGATGACAGCATGTCATCAATGTTAAAATTTTTCAAAAACTATACTCTTTGCCAGGCGTGGTGGCACATGCCTGTAATCCCAGCACTCGGGAGGCTGAGGCAGGAGGATCACCCTGAGGTTTCAGACCAGCTTGGGCTACCTAGTGAGTTCAAAGCCAGCCTGAACTACACAGAAAGACTATCTCCAGAAAAAAAAAAGTAAAACTTGTACTCTTTATGTAAAAGAACATCTTTATTCTTAGGAACTGCTCACCGAAATACTTAGGGATACAAGGGATCTGGTTTATATAAATTATTTTAAAATATCAGATGGATGGATAGATGTAGAGAATGACAAATAGAACAGAATATAAACAGTTGGTAAATTTGGGAGTTCTTTGCACTGTCTCTACAATATTTCTATAACTTTGAAATTATATCAAAATTCAGGGAAACGCTTCTAATGTACAAGCATGTAATACATGATAATTATTCACTTGTCAGTGCTTTATTGATTACTCTAAAAATTATCAACAAGGTAATAGTCAATAAGCATGAAGACTTGCTGTCTTTCACATAATAAGGGTGTGTGGACAGCTTTGCCTTCTCTTTCCCAAGAGACGGATGCCGAGCTGGATTTCCTCTTTCCAGTGTCTCTGAGAGCTTCTTTCTGGCTTCAGCCAACAGTGCAGTCCACACTGAACTTGTCCCACAAGCAGTGCAGTGCTGAAAATCTAAACCCAGAGGCCTCTGACCAAAAGCAAAGCAAGATAGAACTGCTTTTGATATCTTAAACTCACAAACAAAACCTTTGATTAAAAAGACTACTTAAATATGCAGTGATGAAGTGTTTTTTCTCTTATATTTTCAGCATGGCTTCTCTCCTGAGCAAATTTAGGATAAAATTTGCAGACATCCACATCATCGGTGACATCAACATTAAGCCCAACAAAGAGAGGTAGGAAGCGGTGAAGAAGAGATGCAGAGGGCGACGGGGCGTACTCGCTGTTGTTGACGATGGGGGCAAATAGTTCCTTGTCTCCTGCAGCAGCTCCCTAATACGACAGAAAAAGAAGGGCCTTCAAATAATCGTGACACAACCACCAAGCACATTTGAATGGGAAGCAGCATGTGGGGGAGGGGGCGGGGGGTACTGGGATGGAACCCAGGGTGCTCTAATCACTGAGCTACATCCCTAGGCCTTTTGTTTTGTTTTTAATTTTGAGACGCAGTCTCTTGATAAATTGCTAAATTGCCCGGATAGGGCTCAATGTGATCCTCCTGTCTCAGTTTCCCAGAATGTTGGGAGGAAGGGTGTGTTTTATGAAGATGAGCCCAGTAGAGAGAAATGTTGGAACGGATCAGTGAGCAATTTAGAACTGTCCCTCTGGTTCCCGGTTTCTATTACACTATTCTGACCTGAGCAGGCAAGGTGCTTCCTCACCTACGTCACTGGCGGGACACCCCCGCTGGGAAGCGCTGGTGGAGAAACTATAGAACGGCTGTGTCTTCATGCACCGGTCCTCCAGAGACACTCTGGCTTTTAGGCGTTCAGTGCGCCATGCTTATAGCCCAAGGACTGGAGGAGGCGGGTATAAAGCTACCTAAATCCTAGAAAATATATATATATATTTTTATATATTAAGCTACCTAAATCCTAGAAAATATATATACAATTTTTAAAAAATGACAAAAGTGAAATAATCATTTAAATATCTTCAAAACGTGGCATCATTTTAACCCTTAGTAACTAAATTCCTGGACTCTATTATTGTCTTAGCTCAGGCTGCTATGACAAAACACCATAGCCCAGGTGACATAAATAGCAGACATTAACTTCTCACGGTAAGGAGCTGGAAAATCCAAGGTCAGAGTGCGGGCTGAGTCCACTCCTGTTAAGGGCCTTTTTTGTTTACAAATGGCCACTTTCTCCCCACATCTTCACATGGTGAGGACAGGAAGAATTCTGGTCTTGCTCAGCTTGGACACGAACCCTTTCATGGGGACTCTACCCTCGAGATATCCAAACCTGGGCGCCTCCAAAAGGCCTGCCTCCAAACACAGCGCATTGCAAATGAGGCCTTCAAAATATGAGTGTTGGAAACACGAACATGAGGCCCAAAACAATATTTGAAAACAGTTTGTAAGTTAGATTTCCATCAGTGATCCCAAAGGTGCAAAAAAGATTTTCTGGAAATCACAGGCCATTCTACATTAAATTTAATATGCAAATTTACAATTTAACATTACAAAATGTTTTCCATTGTTTGCTGTCTAAAATCACATTTACTGCTGTATTCACATTAGTTTGTTCCTGTCTTCGTCTCTACCTGGTGGCCTGGTTTTCTCTAAGTCCTTGCTTCCATCTCCTTTCTTTCTAGCCTCTGTCCATCTGCGTGGTGACCACGCCACATGCACAGTCTTTCTGCATGTCCATTGCCAAGGGTGTGGAGGTATGACTTCCACCAGCCTCTTTCTTCTTTGCATACGTGTCATCGTGTGGACTCTTCATCTTGCTACCCTGCCCTTTGTCCCATGGTGTTCTCCTCTCAGGGAGCAAAGCTCTGAGTGCAGTAGGAAGAAATGAAGCGTTTTCACTTCTACGTTGCCATTTAAATTTGACTTCAGACACCATTTTAATCGACGTTTCTCACTCTGTAATGAAGAGAATTACTTCCCTCCTTTGGGAAACACATGCATTAGTTTTCAACATTTTAGAGATTTCTTCTCTGCTTTTTCAAGGTCATGCATGAGGAAGATACAGGTAATAAAACCCATCCTTACTGACATAAAAGGGCCCTTGCAGCAAACTTGTCCTGATTCAGGAAAGGTTGTCCGCTAGCAGGCGTGAGCTGGAGAGCCATCCTGCCTGCACTCCGCAGCCTTTCATACAGCGGATGCCATAGCAGTCTGCAAGACACGCACTTTATAGCTGCCCCAAAATACATGAGTAACCTACTTGAAAACACAGGACGATCGTTTGTGAATTCACACATGGCCTCTTCAGAGAACTCTTCTAAGCAGGGAAATGTAGCCCTGGCCCCCAGGCTAAGACTCAGAGAGCACACGGGCTCCACTTCTACCCCCATGTAGGGCAGCCCCTATCTGCCAGTAACGACCCTCTCCTGATCACTCTTCCTTCCTGGTCATCAGGTGACACCCAGTGTGGAAACAGATCCTTAAATGCCGTTAACCTGGCTTTTCTAAATTTTCTGACTATCCAAGAAATACCTGTAAGTAGGCATTTTGTCACAGTAATGGTATCTGTAAGCATGGGAGGGCAAGTGTGAAAGGGAGAACAGAAGGAAAGATAATTAGAATATAATTGAGCCAGGAGAAAGTAAAAAGTCCCTATGGTTACATTCCGTTTTTGTACCAACTAAATTAAAAGTCCATAGGCCAAAAAAAAAAAAAAAAAAAAACCCACCAACAACAATCTGTATATGGAAATCAAAGAGAAACTAGAAGAAATTAATGAGACAATTTTGTTTAAAGATACTAGCACAGCCACAAAATTTACTTTGGGAGAAGAAATCTTATGTGGACTGGGAAGAATCCTGCATGCAACTAAAAAATCTTTAAACTTTTTTACAAGAGAAAGGAAAGGGGAAGCAGGGCAGGGGATAATTCAAACACATTTGAATTTTCATTTAAATGGAACAGCCTATGCTACCTGGCACACAGTCAATTAAAAAGTACTTCTAAGAGAAATCAGAGTTAATGAGCATCAAAATGGATTATCTGGAGCTACCTCAGGTTCTCCTGGCTTGGAGAATGGGAAACGCCTGACTCAGGGATGAGCTGAGGATGAAGAAATAAAAGTGAATGTAAGCCAGGCGGGTTCAAGGAAGAGGAATGGACAGATCTAGCCTCGTTATAGCCTCTTGTGCCGCTGAGCACTTAACTGCAAGTAAAAGGAAACCTCATTGTGATTTAGATGACAGAAATGATTGCCATGCATAACTCAACAATCAGCCAGGCGGGCGTGGTGGCCACGCCTATCATCTCAGCACTTGGAAGGCTGAGGCAGGAGGATTGCAGTGAGTTCCAGGCCAGCCTGGGCTACATAGTCTGTTCAAGGCTAGCATGAAATATATAGCGAGACCCTGTCTCAAAATACCAAGAATAAATAAATAAATATATGAAACAACACAAGTTGGGTTTGGTTTGAGGCTGAGTTGCTCTGGAAGGTAAATTTTATAACCCAGGACTAACTCACGGTCAGTCTCCGCGTTCCACCTTCCATTGGGAAATCATCAGTCCAAGCTGACGTAGCTTATGGGACCTCGGTGAGTGCCAATAGCAACCAGGACAGCAGGCTCGTTCGGGTGTGTTCAGCAGGAGGGAGAGGCTGTCTCTGCCCCAGCCTCTGAGGTCAGGTCCCGGGCTCCACTCAGGGAGCACTGACCTGAGCCACCGAGCTGTTCTTGTCGGTGAGCTCAACACTGCATGCCTGTGGGTGCAAGCCTGCCTGAGTGATGTGCTTGCTCCAGCTACTGCTGTGACAGAGAAGGCGCAGAACTGAGCCGTCGGTGTCAGGGAGGGTCATTCCCACCCAAACCGCACATGGAAAACCTCCTGTGGATGCTAAGGAGACAACCAGTCGCCTCCACCCTACTTTCTGTTTCTGAGGAAACTACTTTTGCACGGCAGGATGTAGACTGAGGTACAAAGAAACTCTCACATTGATCAATGGAGGTATACACAGAGCTTAAGCAGAGAAACTTTCCATTGCCAACCCCAAACCTGCGGCTGTTGGGTGAAGGGAATGTTTGCTTTTTCTCCAAGCACCACATGCTCTTCAGAGCCCTGTCATGGGATCCTGACTCTGACTCATGCAGCTCTAGATGGCTATCATCAGTCCCCTTCCGTGGGGCTGGTTATCCAGGCCAAGGTCAACAGTTCGAGAGCTGGGATCAGAGCCCAGGTCCTGGGGCCTGCACCTTGCCCCTTAACGTGCCACTGCGGAAGCCCTCGAAAGGGACGACACTGTTGGAAGTAATAGCAAATAAAAGTATTGTGTGGTTGAAAGAATAATAGGGCACATCAGTCTTATTCCCTCGCTGTCTTTTTCTACCTTTCTAAATAAGTCAATACAATAGAAATCTACTGCATTAAGTACCTCTTCAGCCTCTCAGCAAAGGCTTCCTGGCAGGGACAATTTTCCTCCTTTGTAATCTCTGCACTTTCATCTGCAAATCCTAAATCAGGCCAACTGATGAGATAATTAAACTCATCACTTCATATTTTAATTTCTTAACCTAACAGCATATGGCTTCTAATTATCATTCCTTTTTAAGTTCCTAAATTATAAGTAAGCTACATTACATGAAACCCAAGAAAACTATTCATACTTGAGAGCATCTTACAGCAGAATGCTGAAGACAACTCCTCCCATAAATCATAAGCTTTACTTTCTGCTATTGTTTTCAAAATAAATCTGGTGAAATTCTTTTTTCTTTGCTTTTCTTGGTTTTTTTGGTTTTTTTTTTTGGTTTTTTTTTTTTGTCTTTTTGAGACAGGGTCTTGCTGTGCAGTTCAGGCTCGCCTTGAGCTCACTTTGTAGCCCAGGCTGGTCTCTAACTCACAACGATCCTCCTGCTTTATCCTCTCGAGTGCTGGCATTATAGATGTGCACCACCACGCCCGGCTGAGATTCCTATGTAAGAGGAGAATGATATTTCTCTCCCTACACCTTTTCAACTATTCTGTAGTTTTTAGATACTTTTTATTTCTCTCCTCAGTGATTTAAGTGCTCTAAAATGGACTCAGACATTAAGCATTAAAACACTATTGATCTTTGTTCTTTCCTTTACCACGCACCTGAATAATACTCACTTGAAAAGGTCAGACAGCAGCACCAAACACCAGGACAAGGGTAGCATTTTCCAACATCCAAGTTGTTCTAGAACCACTGAACTCGTGAGCATCCTTGCAATGCTCCCTCTCCTTGCCCCTGGCCTGCTGGCACAAGCAAGCGAGCAGGAGCTTCCAAGTGGACTAAGGTTGCCGGCGACCCTAGCCACATCCCGACAGACCCAAGCCATCTCCCACACTGGTTGATGACTGTTTCCCATCCACTCTTCACAACAAGAAATGGAAAGAAACTCATTTATGAGCTACATTACAACTTTGCCTTTGACTTCATTATGCAGAAAATGTATTTGCAGAACAATTATTATCTCTGTATTTGTGCCCTGATACCAAAGATCTAATACCTAGTAGGCTAAGAAAGCTCTGAATACGTTAAGTGCTTTCCATGGGTAGGGAGTGAGTATTATAACCACGGTCTTACTCACAGTAGGTTCCCTGCAAAGCTAATTCTTAAAAGATTTGCATGACATTCAACTCGATTCCACAGCCAGCAGAGCCAGTCATACCTGGAGTATCTGTGAAATAATGAGTTAGTTTCCCACAGTGAGGCCTCCTTTACAATTCCAATTTCAGCTGGAAAGTCTTTGAAGAGATGATTGAACCATATCGTCTCCATGAAAGCTGCAAAGATTTAACAACTGCTGAGAAATTAAAAAGAGAAACTCCGTGGAAAATTACAGATGCAGAGCTGGAAACAGTTAAAGAAAAGGTAAGACTTGTCTTCCTTCATTTTTACTTTGCTATCTAGTAGCCAAAAAAGGAAACAGTAGTTTTATTCAAAGATCAAAAAGTAATGTATCTATTATTGAATTGCATTATTCAAGATCCACAGCCTGCATTTTCCTTGAGCTTCTTGGTCATATTTCTAGATATGAAGACTTAGAAAGCTATGGTTTTTGTTTTTTGTTTTTTGTTTTTTTTTTCCCACAAAGCAAATTATCTTTTTTTTCTTTTTTTTTCTTTTTGGTTTTTCTCTGGTACCAGGAATCGAACTCATGACCTTGCACTTGCCAGGCAGGCGCTGTGCCGCTGAGCTAAATCCCCAGGCCTGCAAATTATCTTTTTTTTTTTTTTTTTGGTTTTTTCTCTGGTACCAGGAACCGAACTCATGACCTTGCGCTTGCTAGGCAGGCGCTTTGCCGCTGAGCTAAATCCCCAGCCCCTAAATTATCTTTTAAACGTTAAAAAAAAAACAACACTGGTTATTGGTACACATGGTAAAGACTCCTTTCAAACTTTATTTTTATTAATCTAAAATAATTTAAGTCAATACACTGCAGTGAGACTAACATAGATGACCTACAATTTCATGTAACAACAAGAATTTAAACCTATGAAGATAGGTGTGAGACAGACAGAAGTAACTAAGAAAATTTAAGATCTGTTTGGAACAGTGATATAAAAGTCGGATCCATCTCACATGTAAGAGATGCAAAATGGTGAGCTTCCCAGGGAACCCGCCAGGAGTGACATCTTTGACTGTGAAAGAATTTGTTGATAACACAGATGGTGCAGACAGAGGACAGGCACTCAGAATGAGGAAGATGAACTGACATCTAAAGTGAACATTAAAGGAAGGGAACCACAAGAACTTCTAACCTACAGAATCTAAACAAACTACCATGGGAGCTGATCTGGGAAAATTAGAGGAAGAAACGTAAAAGCTTTTTCAGATTTAGTGAAAAAAAATAACTGCTAGAATCATGGACTCTGTGTGTAATAAACAGCACAGTTCCAACAAAGACATATTAAGTAAATAAGCAAATCATATGTGGGAGCCTTGGTTTCAGAACCAGTGAAATGTAAATAAATACTACTATCCTCACTGCAAAATCATTTTCTTTTTCGAATATACATTGTTGGGATGATTGTGATACCTAATAGTTATAATCATCTTGGGAGATGAGGACATCTTGCATCTTAATTACTAAATATTACATCTTATTTATTTTTGCTTCCTTCCCCTGGCCCCGCTGTCCTTCCCTCACTCCCATCCGAGTTCCCTTGCCATCTCCACAAAGTCTCCCTTCCTGTTTCCTATCATCTGTTTTACTTTGCTCCTTAAGTTACACTTCAGGTTTCTCCCATAAGAAGGAACCACACAATATTTAACCTGTTTCTTTCACTTAGCATTATGGTCTCAAGATGCATCTATTTGCCTACAAATTGCTCAAATTTATTTTTCTTGTTTTTTGTTTGCTTTGTTTGAGACACTGTCTCCCTATGTAGTTCAGGCTGACCTTGAAATCACTGCGTAACCCTAGCTGGCCTTGAGCTCATGGCAATCCTCCTGCCTCAGCCTCTTGAGCCGGGATTATAGGCATGCACCACCACCCCTGGCATTCAAATTTATTTTTTTTTTATGGAGAGTGGGATTGATATATACGTATGAGTTGTGCTGCTAAAAACAAGCGTGTTTATGTACCACTATAATATCATGACTTTAACTCTTTCAGAAAGATGCCTAGCTGGGTCAAATGGAATTTCTAGTTTTAGTTTTTTGAGGAATCTCCATACTAATTTCCATAGTGATTGTATTAGTTTAGATTCCCACCAACAATGTAGAAAATGGTTTTCCAAGTCAGTTTATTGGAGTTTTTTTTTTTTAGCTGAAATCAGTCCTCTGTACTGACAAAATATTCAGGGACCTGAAAGGAAAAATAGAGTAGGATATGATCTATCTTCCCAGAGAATCAAGTTAGTATCAAGAGTCTATCAGTTTTCTTTAACCGAAAAGCTGTTCCCCTCTTCATGTTGTGACCTGTGCAGTTTGCTTTCCCCCCTGAAAAGTTAATAAACCCACTGGGACACAATGCCCTTCTGGTTTTATTTTTTACATTTCTAACATTTCTCGGGAACTCTGAAAACATTTCTTAAACGACATCGTAACTATTTTTTAACAACCACTTTTCAAATAAGGTTTTCCGCTTGTGCAGAATTTGAGCTTAAAAGACAGAGCGTCACTCATAATTCTGCTAGAGCTGCACTGATCAGTGTGGATGTTGTCCACAGAGCTACCGCCAGGTTCGACTGAACGAGCTCTTACAGGAGCACTCGAGAGCGGCCAATCTCATCGTCCTGTAAGTAGCCTTGGCGATGGCAGAGCGGAGCTTTAGGGTAATGGGTCCATCAGCCTCAAAGCTCATGGCTCTTCTGGTGGGAAGGCTTTGTTTTGTTTTGTTTCGTTTTGTTTTGACTTGCTTTGTTTTAAACTGTACCATGTGGGATTTTAGGCAGCAAAGGAAGACCCTGACAGTTGGGCCCTGGGGCTTCCGAGGGCCTCCCTTAGACTTCCTGCCAAGCATACCACACCATGGGACAGGGGCCTTGCTCTCCTCTTAGACCTGGGCTCTGCTCCAGGGACCTGAGACCCTGAAGTCCTTGCCAGCAGCCCCGTACGGGCCCCAAGGTTTGCAGGCATCAGCCGTGGCCTGGTGTCATAGCAGACTTGTGCGGCTCCTTGCCGTGTGGGAAAAGGCCACCGTGATAAAAAGCTGGTGGGTTTTTCCATTTTCACACTTTCCCTCTTGAGCCCTACAGATGTTGGGCGTGTGGTCCTGTAACATATTAATGTACATTTAGTTAAAGATTGTCAGGTAAACATGGGGAAACCTCCAACTATTTTATCTTTACCTCGTGAGCTGATTCCTACGTGTGAAGGCAGTATGTATTCAGACCTGGCCTAGATCAAGAACTATCCACCTCCAACACTATAGAATGCTCTCCGGAATGTGGTGGTAGAGGTCCAGTAGCTGGTTCCCAAAGTTTCTCTCAAATATAGGAGTTTTAAACTACTGCGGGGAAAATTATTTCCACCAAAATTAAACAGTTCAGAAATGGTAGGGATGTTACCACCTGTGGGACGTTTCACTGTTTTTTACTTTTTCTTCCATGTGACCAGGAGTCTTCCTGTGGCGAGAAAAGGATCCATATCGGATTTGCTGTATATGGCTTGGCTAGAAATACTCACCAAGAACCTCCCTCCTGTCTTACTGGTTAGAGGAAATCACAAAAATGTTCTGACATTTTATTCTTAAGACATGAAAGGTGAGAATACATGTCCACTGGCTGTAGGAATAATTTAAAAAACATGTGCCAGTACTTCACATTATAAAATCCGATCTATGGATATGCAAACCTCTGGAGACAAGCCTACCAGATTCTACATAAATTTTCTGTATTTTTTTATTAGTCAGTGGGAACTTTTTTATCTCCCTCTATCAACTAAAAGGAGCATCTAAGCCAATGTTACTACTACAAAAAAAAAATCACTTTTGTCATTGCTGTTGGTAAATAAGAAATTAATCTAAGCCATGCTAGCTAATGCTCCTGAGAACGACCAGGGTGACTGCAAGCTCCCCCAAGCAGGTTCCCTCTTTTGTTTTTAATGGCATTTGCAGTGGGGCCCTGGTTCAGGCCTCAGCCCACAGCAGGTCTCAATAACTCGTATTGACAGGCTGGTTCCATGACATGGGCAGTCATGAAAGGAAAAGAGCAAGCAGGTAGGATCCGTGATAGCCTGTGGCCTCCTGAGAGGCCTGTGACTACAAAGAAGATTTAAAAATCAATAGCTGAAAACTTTCAGAAGCGCTGGAGTCTACAACATGTTTAAAGCAGTTACCTAAATAGGGTTTATTTCAAGTAATAGATAATATACTTAAAGAGATCTGAGAGATCGTTGATAACACACAGCTTGAATTTGCCACAAACTGGAGGTATATTAACTGGGTCAGAAGGGAACGTATTCCAATTACAGTCACACTTGGGTACTCAACTGCTTTGAAACTCCTCAAATTTGGTACAAGATGCTTTCTGATACAAAAATTTTGTCCTGCGGCTGGGGATTTAGCTCAGCGGCACAGCGCCTGCCTGGCAAGCGCAAGGTCGTGAGTTTGATTCCCGGTACCGGAAAAAACAAAACAAAACAAAACAAAACAAAACAAAACAATTTAATCCGGGTACTTTTCCTTTGTTTGATACTTGACTTGCAAGCTAGAACTTGCTGGTGTCAGTGGCCTCCTGATCACTGCCCTTTCCAACCGAAACAATGTGTTTGGTACATGTTGCTTCTGAGACTTAGCACCCCTCTCAGAACCAATCAACAATGAGAACTGGGTACCACTGTAACGACCCATATGCTATTCTTAACCCCAAAACAGGAATTGCCCTCCGTACTAAACAGTTTGAAATTCCCACCACGTATTACTTTACATGTATTTTCTAATTAAGTGGTTAGTACAGATGAAATCTACATAGATGTCTAATTGAAAACCAAGTACCACAAATTTTCAAAGCATTCCTAAGAAATATATCCCAAATCATATATTTAGTTTCTTTGTGTAGTGATTATCTGGACTTCAAAGAATAATTAAAATGTGCATAAATTTGCAAAATTCATAGGACATAGGTATTGATTGTTTCATTTTTGTGCATATATCTGTAATACATAAGTTAATCACATGGACAAACCAACAAAAAAATTGTTTTTCTGATAAATGGAATGATTTTTTTTCCTGACGTGTTCTGACTGTTCTGAGAAAACATATGCGGAAAATGAACCTGAAATAAAAGCACTAAAATTGGTTTGCTTTGGCCAAGGTCATGATTTTACCTGTCATCACTACGACCGTCGTGAATGCCTTACCAGTGGTGAGCCTGGACATTTTAGTCAGCGGCTTTGACCGAAGCTGTTTAGAGCTGGGATTCAGAATTAGGGTTTCTGATCCAGCATGGTGGTGCATGCCTATAATGCCAGCACTTGTGAGGCTGAGGCAGGAGGATCACTGAAGTTCAAGGCCACCTTGGGCTACACAGTGAGTCCAGGACAGCTGAACTACATAGCAAGACCCTGCCTCAAACAAACAAATAAAGATTAGGGTTCCCAAGCTCAGCCTTCTCAGAAGGAAGACTAGAGGAAAAAGTAAAGCTCAAATTGGATACCTGGGGCCATTTTCCTTACTTGGCCCTAGGTTAACATTCCTTTGAGCCCTGTGTACCCAAAACTTGAGGAGCAGTGAGGTGGGCATAACTCTTCTCTGAGGTACTGCGCAAGGCTGTGGGGAGAGCGGGGAAGTAGCAGGCCTTCTGCAGGCAGAAAACTGGCTCTGGCTTCTCAGCCCTCCTCTTGTACACTGGGTCCCTGTGGAAAGAGACAGGAGGTGTAGCTGCGGGCAGAGCCCTGGGGTGCGGGGGCTAGGGGTTGGAGGGATGGTGAGCTGTACTGCAGGCCCAGTGGCAGCCTCACAGGCACTCTGGAGCGAGGATGTCCCCTCGGAGAGGCCCCAGGAGGCCTCTGTGCTGCACCGGAGGGGGTGGCCTTGGGTGGCCTTGGGGGAGGAAGCAGTCCCTGAACCACCTTTGAGGACAAGTCCTTTCTCAAACAAGGTCAGCGAGGGACATCGCCATGCTTGCCAAAGGGGCTGTATACAGTGTAATTAGAGCCACGGGAAAGAAAGACAGAAAGGATGGAGAAAGGGAGAGAACAAAGGAAGGAGGGAGAGGGCGGGAGGGAACCTCAGACTGCCCTAAATTCAAGTCTCGGTCTCCATGTATGAGTCATGTAACTTCAGGTTAGTTATTTAACTTTCTGGGGTCTACTACCAAGAGGGTGACTGAAGTGAGCCGAGACCTGGGTTCCAGGTTGACAGTTGGGTGGCAGTAGGGGACTGCAGACTGTGAAGTCAAGAGGAGCCGCCTAGGGAATAGCTTAGGGTGGCACAAACCTGAAAAGATAGGGTTGTGGTTGGGCAGCAGAAGTTTTTTGTAGCCCTGTGCCCCTGCCATTGTCCTCTGCTTCACTCAGTTCTGTAACCCAACACCCATCATCTCTGCATCTGTAATCAGGTTTCTGAGCACGGAGGAGGATGTCCCACAGTCCTGTGCATTAGTGCCCAATAGTCTCTCTTTCTGCTGGCTTCATATTAGCATTGTTACCAAGTCCTGGGCCAGAGCTCCCATGCTGGGGATCCCGATGGACCAAGCTCAGCCATTTTTCCCAATTAACCAAACAGGGGGAAGGTGGTAAGGAAAGCAGGAAAGGATTTATTCAATATGGCCACACTGTGAAGGAGCAGAGGACCAGTGTTGGTCACTCTGTCTTCAGGGTATGACAAGAGCTGCAGGGTTATGTAAGGGAAGGCCAAGGGGGGAGTAGTAAATATGCCTGGTCAAGCCGTCTTGATCAATCTGTGATCTGGTGGATCATTATCTCAGGTCTGGCCTGCTGGCACTAGGGAAACCACTACTGCTCGAGGAATGCATCAGTCAGCTTTCCTGCCCATGGGACAAAATACCTGACATCACAACTTAAGGGAGGAAAGGTTTATTTCTGCCTCACTTTCACTGAGTTCAATCCATGGTTGACTGGATTTAAGGCAGAAAGAGCATGGTGGAAGAGGCTGGCAGTGGAAAGCCACTAACCTCCTGGCAGAGACAGAGAGGAGGACCCGGGAATGCACCCTTCCAGGTCACACCCTTTACGACCCGCCCTTTCCAACCAGGTCCGACCTCTCAACATGAGACATTTGCGGGACATTTTTGATCTAAGCCATCACAAGGGGACAATACGGTACCTATCATGAAGTGATTGCTAACATTTAGGGGAGGGGACAGAAAGCCTCAGTTCCAACCATGGGATGATCTGCCTGTAAGACTGGCTGTTCTCGGAATCCTGAAAATATCTTAGTTACTCTTATCTTGGTGTCTTCAGCTTCGAATGGGAAGAGAGGTTAGGTAAATTTAGGACTTTGTATTACCGGTCTTTAGGCACATTCCTTAAATGATTAACATGTCTGTGTGCTACACTAAGCAAAAAGCTGACCCCAAGTTAAAGGTAGCCAAGGAGCCGGTTTCAGGTCCAAGAAGAGTCAGTGCTTTTCTGTAAAAACAGCCATGAAGTCCCTGTTACGGCGTTCCTATCCTTTCCTCACAATGACTTTTCAAAATCTCTGTTTTTCAGTTGATGGGCTTGTCCTTATCCCTACAAACTTAGCCATCAACAGAGACAGGACACACTGGGACAGAAATAAGACCACAGTGGGAAAATTACCATGATGCCTCCCCTTAATACTCAAGTGTAGTAAACTTTCGATGGAAGTTTTAAAAGAGATTATAGATTTTTGGAGACCACCACTGCCCGCTACAATAGAATCTCTGGGAGTATTAAGCCCTAGGGATGTGCGTTCTGATGATACACAAGGTATTAGAATTACTGTTCCAATGTGTCTCTCTCCTTGTGAAGACTGGACTTGTCACATGTTGGAGTCTCTCTCTCTCCCTCCTTCTCCCTCTCTCTCCCTCTCTCTCTCTCACACACACACATACACACAAAAAGAAGCAAAGGTATCTCTTTTTCCATCACCTACCTAATCTCCTTAGAATTAACCAAAGATACATAAAAATAGGGAAACTCTGCATCATGGCAGGCAATAAGAAAAGGTCTCAGGATATACCTACAGAAGACCTTGGGAAAAGACCAAACACCTCCCCAGTTCACTGCTGGAAGTGAGACTAGGCTGTAGACAGAATGCAGTAGCTTCCCTGGGTTCCCTTTATCAGATATAAAGATATTCAGAAGCAGCTGTCATGAGAGGATGCTTGGCTGGCTTGGTGGGTATTCAAAGCAGATCTCCCGGATGTGCAGACAGCAGCACTTAAAATGAAACAAAATGAACAAAACCACATTGTGTGTGAATGCTTGTACACAAAGAGCATAAAAACGGGGGAAATGGTCCAAAAGAGAAAAGTGAAAAAAATCATACAATCACACATTTTAAGTAGACTCATATGATAGGAGAAAAACCAAACACAGAAGAAACAGAAAATATAAATGCATTAAGATTTATTACGGAAAGACTCATATTCAGTGAAAAAAAAAAATCAAGTTCTATATTTAAACATCAGGACCCGGGATTTACCTCAGTGGCAGAAGCGCCTGCCTGGCAAGGGCAAGGTCCTGAGTTCAATTGCGGAAAAAAAAAGCCATCACACTCAGAACTAAATATCAAAGGGATTAAAAGCTCACAATTGGGAGTGAAAAAAGAAAAGCTAAAATCAAAAGAATAACCAAAAATATATACAAACATTTGAACAAAAACTACAGTTGGCAATATTAATTTCAAAATGTAAGTCTAAAAAGATTAGGAATAACATGGGAGTATGATTTTAAATTTATAAAATACATACAGCCATAAAGTAGCTATAATAATAATAGTGCTTTACATAAGCAAACAGCATAGCATTGACATAAATAACACAACTACTGTTAGAAACAAAAGGAAAGTCTAGGAAGTCAATTTTCTTAGCAAATGGCTCATTTATATCACCATCTTTGACAGATCAAATATAGGAAAAGTTCAACTGTGTCTTAAAAATGGATTTAATACATGTAATGGTGCTTGCCCACAGAAAATACATCCCCTTTTAGAAATCTGTAGAATGTTTATAAAAACAACACATTAGATCATGAGAAAAACTCAATGAATTCCAAAATGTAGAAATAGTATCATATTTTTATTATAATACAATAAAACTTACATTATTTACAAATATATAAATCATCAAAAACTCTCACTGCGAAAAGAAAATTCTTCTAAATCACTCAGGTTAAAAAAAAATAGACAATACAATTTTAGGCTATTTAGCAAAAAATAACATTGAAAACTCCATACAGTGAAGATATATTTTATGCTGATTATATTAGTCACTCTCCCGTTGCTGAGCTAAAATACCTGACAAACACATAAAACAGGATTTCTAATTTGGCTCCAGGTTTTAGAGGGTTCAGTCTACGGTTGATGGCTCAAACACAGGAACAGCATGTTAGAAGGGATGGCAGAGGAAAGCTGCTCACCTTGTGGTGAGCTGTTTTCTGGCTAGAAAACAGAGAGAAGTGAGTTGCTAGGGACAAGAAT